AAAGATATAGCCATAAAGAAACTAAAACTTTGTCGAAAATAATTATCCTGAAAGTTAAATTTCACCATATACTCTTCTTATTAAAATTACAAAGAATTTATTAATCTTTCAATCTTTTGTTACAGTTTTTCTATTTGCCTACATAACATATTAAATTAAATTTTGCATTTTTTTTAAAATCCTTTTTAATTTACTATTGAAAAAATTAATTCAATTTAAAGGATTTTATTGTTATTGAATTTTGTTAACTTGATTTGTTTGAAGCCCCAGAAATCAGATAGTGAGTTATTCAAAATGAGGAATTGAATATGGGGAGCAGCAAAATGTTCATTACAATTACCGGGGAAGAATTGGAACAAACAATGGAAATGAAAGAGTGCGTGATGTTATACCGCGGAAAAAAATACACCAGGTCAAAATGAAAGAAAGATGTGGTTACTGAAATTGTAAATTGAGGTGAGTTCATCATTCCACGAGGTTCAGGAAATGGCCGTTAAAGTGGCTTTGGGGAACTTTTTATGACCAAATTCTTTGGACTCTTCGGAAAGAAACTTGATTTTCAATCTAAAGGCAATTTCATATAAGTTGGAAAAGCCCGGGATTCGGGGACAATGAGGATCTATTTTAAGTGCAAACATCCCAAATCCTTATCCATCTCCATTGCAGCTCCATGGAAGAAATTTAAACTTGGCAGTGATATCAATTTCAACTTCCCCGCGAGGAAAATAGAACATGAAATTCCCCGCGGGGAAAAGTGGAACACGAAATTTCCCGAGGGTAAATGGAACAGCATATTGTTGCTGCTGTCGCTGTTGCTATGCCTGCTGGACGAGTGTTTAAAATGGCTACAAAGGCCGTAGTCATTAAAATTATTAGCCAAAACAGAATCATCATCTTCTTCTTCTTGATCAAACAAAACATCTTCCTGTTCCTCATGACCAAACAAAACATCTTCTTGTTCTTCTTGATCAAACAAAACATCATCTTGCTCTTCTTCTTCATCCATCAAAACATCATCTTCTTGATCTACTCACTTCAATACCTTTATCATCCTTACAGAAAAGAAAATGTTTTTTGGGTATCTCGCAAACAGCTGAAGTGAATTCAACTGAAATATTTTTAGTGACAAGAATGTGGTTTTGAATTCGATCGTCATTCCATAGATCGTGTTTCTTCTGAACCAGAGAGAATTAAATCAGCAATCCGTTCATGAAATTCAAGATCATCCACATATTGAAGTTCGAATATTAAATCGAAACGAGTCAACAGAGATTGTGCAACATAAATGTTATTTGCATCCAGAATTTTTTTTTCATTTTTCTGATTCATCACTGCAATTATGCTGCATTTGGTTTACAGTTCTTGTTTCAATCCAGCTAATATTATAAATAAAAATAAGTATGAATTAAATGAAACATACATTTTTAACTACTAGAGAGTTTTTTCATTGTTTACCTTTGTAAAGTGTAATTTTTTGTGATTCCATTGCTTCGTCAATGCATCCAATGTGATCTGTTGACATAAGCTTGATTTCATAGTGATTGCTGTTTGTTGATTCATCTTGGTTGAGTTCAAAACATGACTCAGTCAAGGCATTGTACTGCAACTGGAAAAGACAAATTTATTTAAAGAAATAATTAATTTATTATTTTACTTACCTCGTGAAATCATTCTCGAAAAATTTTCGTTGAATCGGTTTTCGAGTTCGAACTTAAGTTTTTCAATTCAGCAGTTATCTTCAAAAAAATTTTAAATTAAAAAATAGGGTAGTTGGCTAGTAATGACACCACCCCCAAAAACGCGTCTAGTAGTGACACCACTTTGTTTGGATAATTTTAACAGCTCTTAGAGCTCTTAGTGCAACACCACCAGCACCAGAAGATGACGAAATTCTTCAGATTGCAGCAATGGAAGTGGAGCAAGAGGAAGAATTACAGAACCGACGACCTATAGAACAAATGGATGTAAGCAACACAATTTTAATTTTTAAAAATTTTAGCTCTAAAATTGAATTCTTATCAGGGTGTCAATGGGTCAATGGGTCAATGGGTGCCAATTACAAGCGGTCACATAAAGAAGCTGAAGGAAGCTGAATACCACAAAATGGGATCGGTTGCTCAGGCTCTTAAAAAGAATTTAGTAAAGATTGAAGGAATAGCAAGGCAAAAATTGATAAATTGCAAGCTGAAGCAAGAAAATATGGTAAGTGAAAATTTTTCTTAACCAAGACGTGTTAGAAGAAGACGGGGAATTTCGTTCGCATTTTCCCCGCGGGGAATTCCATTTTCCCCGCGGGGAATTTCGTGTTCCATTTCCCCCGGGGATTTCACCGAGGGAATTGTTAGATTAATGAGAAAGCTCCGAAAAGAAATATAATCTTAATCAAAGTCAACTACAAGTTTGAACCAAAATGTAATCAAATCGGTAATCGATTTTTACAGTAATGATGAAGAAATGATATTAGCATTAAATTATTAGCATCAAGCATTTCTGTACGATCATATTAATGTTGAGTATAATTCAGAGTGATTAATTTTTTATATAAATTGTAGAAGATCCTGATATCAATTCCGATTCAGAACTTAACAGCACGTGAGTTTATTTTTCCTATTGTCTTCTTCATTTTGTTTTATAACTCTTTGTTCTTATTTTCTTTTCTCCAGTGTTGTTGCCGCCCAAATCGAACCTTTTGCTGATCAGGCCGAACCTATTGCCGATCAGGTCGAACCTGTTGTAGTTCCCGTCGAACTTGTTGTCGTTCCAGTCGAACCTGTGCCAGTTGTTCGTCAAACACCTGTTTGCCAGCAACCTGTTCCCGTTCGTCCACGACCCGTCATTGAATATGAACTGGACAACGACGAAGATCCCGAATATGAATATTCGTAAGTTACATAAAAAAAATGATTATTTCATTCTTCTTTTCCTTTTCTCTCTTCTTTTTATATTCAGATTCACTGCTGAAACCCCATTATCTGTAAAAGAATTCAGAAATGTCAAACTCGCACTATAAGACGTTATCCCCACTGCGAAATTTTGATTCATTTCGGCTTTGATTGTTCAGCCGTTAACGTATTTTGCCGATTATGCAACGAGAAAGGACATTATCAGTACGTGTGCCCCAACGCCCGTTCTTGATTTGGATATTTTTAATTCTTTCCCGCAATAAAAGACTGATTAAGATTAAAGTTTGTTTTTTCTTTATTTCTTTTCATTTTCAGCACAAAACTCAGATTTTTAAAAATTAACATTTAACGGAAATTATAGATTAAAATTCTTTTATCCGCGGATTATACGAGAAAATTTTAAAATTTTTAATTTTGTAAACAAAACAGGAATGATAATCAAATTAAAGTTTGAATTTAGTGAACAATGCACAGACTCAATAATTACTTGAGTTTAAACAAATGTCTTTGCTTTTATTTATCACATCATGTTGGGCAAGTTAAAGGTCAGTGTTAACAACAGCTGTAAACAACTCTAAATTTATCGTCGTAAAGGCGTCATTAGCTGACACCAATGTTCGGTATGTACGTCCCAATCTGCGGTCGCGTATCGACTGACCTCGTCACGCCGCGTATCCTCGTACCCACCCGCTGTCGGTGTGGGTAATCTAGTACCTCATACCGGTACAAACTCGCTATAATAACTTCGGGCCAGAGTTGGGCGATCCACATCGCCCAACTCTGTCTTCGGCTTATAAAAATTATTTATAATTATAATAAGCCGTAGTTAGAGTTAACTCCACCTTTCAGGCGCGGGAACCGAATTAGCTGCCTCCGCGTGGTTCCTGGAAACGAGATACTGATGATCAAAAAAAAATTATTTCTTAAAATACAAAAAATGATTAAAAGCAATCTATTTTAAATTTAGTAAATCTGAGGCTATTTTTTTCTAAAGTCTGAAAGAAACGTCAAACATCCTATAATATAAAGTCACTTCAGAGACAACTTACTAAATTCCATTTCGTTGGTTATAAATCCCCAAATGAATAAAATAAGAAAGAAACAATTTGACTTGAATTTCTACTTTTTATTTTTGAAATATTTTATTAGATTCCAGTATAAGAAATGTTTTTCAAAAACTTTGTTTTTATTTATCAAACGAGGACAGTTTAGGTCATTTGAGTGTACATATTGCTTGTGAAAGTTGTAAATGCAAATTATGAGATCACTAACAGTCTTTCGTTAAAATATTAAGTAAGAAGTAGAAAATCAGATTTTCCTTCCGTTATCATTTCACAAGATATGATGTAAATTAAATAATTTATTGATAAAAATTCTCTTTCTATTTCTTAGTATAAAAAGCTAATCATAGTTGTGATGATCTGTTAGTGAAAAATATTTGAAAAGTCATTTGAACCTAAACAAACATGAAATTCATCAAATTCGAGTGTTAAAAGCTAAAATCACAAAAAGTGGAAAATATTTTCTTTCATCTGAAAATAAGACATCGTTGATAGTTCACAATTATTTAAAGATTAAAATATTCTTTTCTTTTGATTTCTTGAGAGATTCAACAGAGTTTTTCATTAAGTAAAATCTTGATTAGTGTTTTTCATTTGTACAAAATTGTTATTAAATGGAAGCAAATATTAGTGTGGAAATAATCACTAACGTCGTTTTAATTTCAATTCTTTTTAATAGAAAAAAGAAAATGAAGCAATAACGTCATTTATGAGTATTTCCCTACCTAGCATAAATTAATGTAAAAAGCTAATTTCTATTGCTTTGTTCAATGCTTTTATTTAGAATGCTACGAAAGAGAAAAAACTTTTATTCCATAACTTAAATATGCTTTTGATTATCATATTTGTAGTAGTTTTAAATAATGTTTAGCAAATAATAATTGCACAATTTATTTTAAGAAGTTTTATGTACAATGAGTAACGTTTTCTCTATGATTACTGATCATTTTATGAAGATTAAAATTGTGTAGGTATATAAAAGATGAAATTTCGATCCAGAAGGTCCGATAAATATTAAAAATTCTATCAAATATTGTGATGAAATTGGCAATTCTTCTTATCCTTAAGAATCCTGGAAGAAAAAAAGATGAAATAATTTGTTTAACGATTAAAGGTAAATTCTCACTTTTATCAAAGGAAATTCTTCTTGAAATGATGAAGAACTTTGGTAACCCGGACTTGGTGATTCAGAACTTTCGGGAACTGGAGTAATATTAACATAATTAATGTTGGTTGATGAGATCGATGACACTGGTGACACAGATTTGCAATGTTGAACTACATTTTGACTCAAAGCAATGGCTGCCCGGTCGATGTTTTGATATTCTTTACCCGAACGTGGGCGCATTGTATTGACTGTGTGTTTGTTCCTAATCAAATAGAATAACTTTACTAAAAGTCAATCATAAAAAATTACTCTAACTTACCTCAACGCTTCAATATCTGATGAACTATGACTAGAAAGTGAAAGTGTTTCAATGTAATCCGACATGTCAGACGTTCCACTACTTGTACTGTTAGAGTCAATATGACCCGCTGTCATAATAGCACCTAAGCTCGGACATTTTCCTGATTTATTTTGTATTGAAATACTTCCATTGGCATTTCTCCTGTTTTGTGTAAATTGAAATGAAAGATCGCCGAAGGGATCAAAAGATTTTGATCTCCTAATCAGTGATGCATGAACACAAGCTTTGTTTTGATTTTGACTAAGTTGTCTTCTCTTTTTTATTTGATTGATCAAAGGTAACTCAAATTCATTGTATTCTTTTGGCACAGCAGATGCTGTCGAAACTCCTGAATCATTAGAGCTTGACGAGTCTCGATTTGGAAGTTTTGTGGGACTTTCACCATGACGAACATTCACAACTTTAATATGTTCATGTGGTTTGACTGGTGGTTGCTTACGTGGTGAGTTATTATTGGAATGACTAGAATGGACATCGACAACTTTTACATCTTGATATGTGTCGTTGGAAGCGATTGAAGGTGCTTCGTCTTCAACAACTGTCGACGAAGTTTGTTCACTTTCAATGCATCTAAACGAATCTACCGACAAAGATTTCTTACAAACTAAGTTGCTTCGATCACCGACACTTTTAATAGTTAGACTAGCGCGTTGGAAATCCAAACATGGACGGTTCAGATCTGGGTTACTGTAACTTTTCTCTTCGAGCCGAAGCAAAAGCTTCTTTGTTTTGTGTGTCGATGGAAGTGTTTTCACTTCATTTATCTTACTCTGTGAGTTGACAGGATGCATTGAAATGTATCCAGGAAATGTCTTTGACTTCTCCTGAATCTCCATCACCAAATAATTCTCATTCGTTTTCTCCCCTGATGGTATCAAAACACAATTTTCCTTGTTTGTTTCCTCCCTCGATGATTGTTTGCACAGAATATTTTCTCGCTTTAAAACTTCTTTCGCATTCTCGTAGATTTCCAGCGACTTCTCAAATTCGAGATTTGCATAATTAGCGTTGGGAGTTTGTGAAGACGTGCGGGGAATATGAATTGGCTTTGATTGTTCATCAATCAGTCTTTTCATTTGTTTCTTCGATGGATCGACAAGAGCGTAAAGACTACTTTTGTCAGTCTCGCTCGTAGAAAAGTCGCTAAGCTTGCATTTCATGGGATCTTGTGCAATGACAATACTTTTATTCTGACACGATGATTGCGTAAGATGCAAACGACTTACCGGAACTCCCGTATTCTCAATTCCATTACCACGACGACATGGTATCCAATTATCAGCCCACGACATCACACGATGACATGTACAATCTGTTTTGACATCATCGTTCAAAATCCGACTTTGAATTGTATTGTTGGCCATGCAACCGCAAACGACATTCTTTGGAATATTTGGAGTATCGTAATTACCGTAGTCGCCATTAAACATCGTTAATTTTCCGCCTACATTTTGCTCCAGGTACATTTTAACGCTTCTCGGTTTATCGTAGTTTTCCATTTGATTTTCATTCGTTGGGGAGAGAATTTTGGGTGAGTCGTAATTTTCGTACGAGCCCACGAAATTTCTCGACTGCTCGTGTGAGCGAGGAACGGAGAATGAACGATGAGATGACGTCTCATGGGAATGATGATGCGAATAAGGACGTGAAATTGAAAATTCGGAAATGTTTCCACAACTTTCCTGTGATCGCATTGAGATTCTGTCCATTGCTGATTGCTTGCTCGAGGCCAAATGAATTCGTTGATGAGCATCAATAGATGAGTTTTTGTATGATGATGACCCGAAGCAAAGATTTTGTGTGTTGTCGGTTATTGTTGAACTACGTGACATTGTCGGAATTAAACTTCGCTTCGAACTGCAACTCATACAACGTTCCATTGTCATAAGACGTTTTCTGTCAAATGATTTTTTCATTAAATTTCTGAGTTTTCAAAAGAATGTCAAACAAAAAACAGGAAAATTTACCTCGAAAAATGATTCAATTCGTCGTTCGTGTCCATTTCGTCAATGAATGATGAAGAATCACATCCAATGAAACTGTCGATGCCTCGTGATTCCTGTGATGGCCAGAACGACGATGCATTACTGCAATCACATTTCAGATTGATTTCCCCTCGTAAACTTTGTGTATCTTTCATCTTTCGTGGACTATCGAGTGGCTTGTTGAAGCGGCTGTTGCTGTTCAAACGTCCAAGTGATGCCATTTTGAAGCAATTCGATATTTCATCACCGTAATCGGTTATCAAAACCACAAATCCTTCACATTTACCACTCGATGACCCGCCTTCGAAACAAAAACGATTCTCCACAACGCCATATCGTCTGTCAATTTATTTTAACGAGAAATTTTATTAATTATGGAAATTGTTGATTAAATTTTATTATCAATTATAAGATGAAGCTTTAACACCAAGCACACTCAATCCAACTAACCTCAAGTGGGCGATGTTCCACATTCCCGACAATCTCGGTGGAATGCCAGTCGTTATGCAAAATCTGTGGTTTTGAATGTGTAATCGAGCTGGTCCGGCTGGAATTTTAACTTTTGTGGCTGCTGATGCTACCAGCACTAAATATTGAATGTCGTCACCGAGATTACTCGAGATTTTCACTTGCCATTGCATGAGAATTTCTCGAGTGTCGAATGCCAAATTTACAATCACATCTTGGCACAGAATTGCTATTGTATTTGACTCTTTATCCAAAGTAAATCCTGATTCAATGCCTAAGAAATGCTCGAGAGACAAAGAAGCTTTTGTTGGTCCGTTCTTGTATCTTTCTTTTGAATCTTTGTAGAATTGTAAATGAAGACAATCTTCGGATACAACAAAGAGAAGAAAAGAATAAAAAAGATTAGATAAGATCAGGTTTCATTTCGGATTCATGAAAACACAAACAGCAACAGTAAAAGGAGTGAAAAGGGTTGATTGTTTATTAATTAAATGCTTGCATATTTCCCTCTCCTTTTCCTCGAGATATTAATTTCAACTTTAATTCATAACATTCCCTCTCTCGATGTTTAAACATAAACGAACATTCACGTATGAATTGCTTTCAATCGGCTTAATGGAGATCAGAATTAAAATCATTAGAATGTGGAAAATGTTGCAGAAATTTGCATGAAAGGGAGACGAGTTCAGTGAATTGGTTTTTGCTTTAGAAATTCATTCAATGCAACATCATTTGAACAATTTAACTAAGCTGTTAAACATCGAATTGTATTTGTGTCGACTTAAATCGACTAGATTTGGTTAAAAATTTGTCTACTGATAGCATCACACAAATTGAATTAATAATCGACAACTTTATTCGTACTAATTCATTTTCTACTGCAAATATTTCGAAAGTGAATTATCGCCAAAACGATCTCGTAGTTTGCTATCATGTGGCTTGTTTACAAATGTAACTAAAACACTCCAGAAAGTCGTTTCGATAACTGAAGCAGACATTTAATTTAACCGGACGTGATTCAACGATTTATTCCGTTCACAAGATAAATTGGCAGTGATTTGCGAGAAAATTCAAAACCCGATCTTGTTGGAAGGAAAACTTTAAATGGAAATTTTCATATGCCGAAAGCAATTTATCTTTGTTGCCTCGGTTTTTAAAAAGGCGAAGTTGATTTGTTGTCGGGAACATTGTAAACATTTCCTATCTACATTTTTTTCTGTCGGTAATATGATTCGATGATCAATTGCTCTGATGGAGAAATTCTATCTGCCATCATCATAAAGTATTTTAAAAGTGTTGAAAAAGTGATATGGGAAAAGAATCCTCTTCAATCATCGGTCTGCTCCGACCAAAGACTAGGGCGATAGAAACAACATAATTTATGTTTCTTTTTTAGTTCTTCAGGGGTGATCCAAATGTGCACTCGAAAGGATCCTCAAAAAATCTCATCCCACATCTGGCAATCGTTAAAATGATAAAAATTCTCGGCTCTGCTTGTCCCTATGATAATATTACACAATTCCGTGTTTTTTTTAACAAAACGTTTTGGTAATTTCCATTTCTCACATAAAGCAGCGGCTGAATGTAAGTGGTGCTCTTTTTTGTGTTGAATTAATATATTTATCATGTTTTTGTAAAGCATAGATCCCGTATTTTTATGATTATGGCGTGTAATTTTTAACTGGCAATAGGAGCAAGCAGTTTTTTCAAATTTACTTCATTCTCCTGATTTTTATAGCATCGAAACATGTTTCATGTTGAATGCTTTAGTGGTTTCAATTCTACGGATAACTGCATTTCTTTACTCAGTAACGAGAAATCTGGTAATTAAAATTCTCCAAAAGAAAAAGATGAAAACTTTAAATGAAAAACTTTGAAAAAGAAAGAAAAATAATTTTGAGAAGTTTTTTGTCGTGTTTGTAACTTTGCGCTCATAAATTTCTCATTTTGTGATTCCTTTAATTAGTTTCACTCTTCTCTTATTTTTTTGCTTTTATAAGCTTTGTAAAAGTTATGGATTAATTAAGAAAGCCTCCCTTCGTCTTTTATTTCTATATGCAAAGAGAACTACAATTTACCTACCGAAATACTTTCTAAATATGGCTTCAACTTAATTATGATTTATATTTCACCTTCCTAATCTATTTCCATTCACCCTCCATTAGAAAAGTGCGACAAGGAACGTCAGGTTATTTATTATGTGCCGAAATGGAATTAAAATGTGTTGTAAGCAATAAAAGAATTGTTTCATACTTCAACGGTGTTTGAAATGAATGCAATATTCAAATTAGAAGCATTCAGTCATTCTTTCACTCTTTTATTTTGTGTTTTATTATAACTGACATGTGAACTGTCAAACAACATAAAACTGATTTGAAAGTGCTTCTGGTTGCCCTTTTAGATTAAATTTGAATTTATTTCTACACCCTACGACACTCCAAAAGGTAATTAAAACCAACAAGAGATTATTTAATCGATAATTGCTGTAATGTGAAAATGTGTCGGAGGAAAAAAGTGAAAATGTTTCACATTCCTGTAAAGTTTTCTAAAAACTTCTTTGAACTTTTTCCAAAAATAAAGAGTTTGGTAGAACTAAGAAGGAAAGCGAAACGTTTGGTAAAGATAAGTTAAAAACTATTTTCAGATTTGCAAAGTTTCGTCTTTCAAGGTGTGCACACTCTTTCCTTTATCTTCTACCATCTCAGTTTTCATCAAGATTAGGAAACTTCAAAGAAGTTTGGAAAGCAGATGAAATTACCATTTTGTATAAATTGCTAAAACTTTCCTAACTCCATCTGAATTTACAGTAATTATGCTCGTTGGAGAGTTTACTTATGAGTCGTAAGTTACGACAATTCAGTTCAGGAATTTCCCTCAAAAATATTTCACGCCATTAGAGAGAATGAAAACTCGGAAAATTTTCTTTTTAAAAATTTACACATAAATTATTCAAAAGTTAAATCCTGAGTTCAGTTTGCAAACATTAAATGAGCGCTTGTTTCATGTTTCATGTATGTATGTTGAAATTTTAATCATCTATAGCATATGGAAATGTAATTGAAAAAGTTTGAAACATTTTCCCTCGGAAAATAAATTTTCTGCTGTGAAATCATCGAAAGGTGTAAAATTTCTCACACATTTATGGATGTTGCGCTATTCGCTGTAGATAGTCAATGTTAATGTTAAAAACAAATTTACCTGCAACCGGTGACAATTTTCTCATCACGCACCATCGCGATTTCCACTGAAAATAAAGAAGAAAATTTGAAATTAAATTCAATTTTTATGTTCTTTCGTAGTCATGAAAAGTTAAACCCAGGAAAATGTGTTGTCGTTCCCTTCTTCTCTCGAAACAAAATGGATAAAGAAAAGTGAAATAAATAGCAATGAAAGGAAACCAACAGGAAAATGTTTTGCAATGAAGTTTGTTGTGAATTAATTCAAAGCAAACATGCTGCGAGCATTTTTAAATGGGATCCAAGCAGACAGAAAACAATGACGAAAAGAAATATTTTTAAACCACAATAGAAAAATGCGACATTTGTATTTGGTATCAACTTTTTCATTTTCCATTTCCTCGAGTCAAACGATTTTTCTTTCTCTTTTGTCTCCATCTCAACAACAAAACGAAGAGATTCACTTTTATCTGAATTATTTTTGAATAGTCCAAGCGGAAAATTTTTAAAAGTCATTAAATTGAGAGAAATTGTAGTGGTTTGCATAACTAAACAAATTTTACGGTTTGATAAAATTTTATGGTCCCCTAGGGGTCGTTTCATTACATGAAACTTCGGAATGTGTGTAATTAAAAGCAAATAAGTTTCAAAAATTTTCCTTTTTCCTCTTTGATAATTTTCACAAAATTTATTTGTTTTATAGAAATTTAATTGAAGGTTTACTGATGATCTGTCAATCAAACAACTTAGAAGAAAAGTCGAGTGAAACTCTGAAATTGTTAATTACAGAAAACTCAAATTAAATAAAACCCCAACCAGAAATTCAGAAACTTTCCGATAAATTTTCAAATTATTTGTTTGGAGGAGGAAATTACAAGAAGATTTATTTCAGTTCTTCGTAATTTCACTTGGTAAAATTGAACATCGCTGTTGTGTCAACATCTCTCTGGTGATGTTTAATTATGCGGGCGCTTCGAGTTCTTTTGTCTTCATTATCAAGATTAGCGAAACAAGAAAATTTTCAACGCTTTACACAATTTTACTATTTCATTGTGTTTAAGTTGCTTGTTCATTCTGCATGAAAAATTCTCAATATTTATGATAAAGCATTTAAATTTTGTAGTTTTAGAAGAAGTGAACTACAGTCAGCATCACAAAAACCAAATATGCGCACTAAGAAGAAGTGAAACTCGGAATATTCGAAGAGAACTATGGAAACCGATTGTGTCGGGAAACGATATCGTTTTGCTTTTCAAGCATAAATGAATGAAAATCAAATTTGAACTTAAATTGTTTGCAATGATGGAAGTTTGTTTCAGCATTTCACTGGAATAACGACTTGAAATTGGATTTTGATTGCATGAAAGATTTTTATGAGAGCGGCTCGAGATTGCTGACAGAAAAACTATTTAAATGAAGAAAGGTGAAACGGATTCGAGATGAAAACTTTTAAATTTCCATATTGAATCAAAACTAATGGAGTGGATGTGGAATTAATGAAACTTTCTTAATCCTCAAATCTTCTTTCCGGAAGAAAAACTTTTCTGAATGATGAAATTTATGATTTTCTTAATAAATTCTGTGACTATCGGAACCGCATGACGCAATTCAATTCCATCTTGTTTTCGATTCCGGCACTAAAAGGGACACGGGAGAGTCAGGAAGTGTCTGTCATAGAGCATTAATTCATTTAATGTTTCTTCAGTCTCTGTGAGAAGCAAGAGTGGCTTAATCATGACGTGACATCTTGCATGATTCCAAAACAAAACCCCGCTCATTGTTATTTTAATTTTTTCTTCTCTCTTTCCCTTGCCTTGCTCTTGACATTAAGAAGGCACTTGTTACAAGTTCATTAAAATACAGCTGCTGTTGCTGCTGAATGTTTATAAAAAATTAAAAGAAATCTGAACTAAATATTGCATCGGATCAAAGCTGTCGAGAGTTTCTTTCTCTACTAGCGAAGCGATCCTTTATTTTACGATAAATTTTGCAAATATGTTCACCCTCATCACACATTTATACATCGAACTGAAACATAAATTCGCTTTAATCATTTTCTTACATTCGACTGACTTCGTTTCCGACTTTATTTTGAATGCTTTATGAGTTTTACTCGATGTGATATCGAAATTATTTAATCGTGCAAAATTAATGAACGACCCAGCATCGTTTACTTTCGTAGCTGAGCTTATGATTTGCGAATTAAAAGCAGAATGAAAACTACGAAGAAGGGGAGACGATGCCGAAAGACGAAAATTATTGCGATGAAGTTCTCATAAATTTGTTATGATGAATGAATGGAAACATTTTTTGTTTTGTGTCGTTATTGCACTTGAACAACAACTTTATAGCCCACTGTCAGTGAGAACATCGAAAGAGAGAAAATCGATTGGTTTAATGTCATTCGAGCATCGCACTCAGCGTGTGGTAAAAATAATAATAATAAATAAATACTTGGAAGGGATCACGAGAAATGCAAACACGAGCAGTTGTTAACCATTGTAGTGGAAGTTTCGCCTGCGGACATTCGTTCATAACTATTGGAAACCATTTGCCAATTATGAAAATTCGTTCATCTCGTCACAATTGCAAATTTCATGGCGTGATCGCTCGTTGAAATATTTCGCGTTGTCAATGAATGTTCGATAAGCCGACGACTCAATTGACAACAATTAGAATTTGAGTCTCGTCAACATTATCGATTTGAGATGTCATCGACGATGCATTTCTTCATCAAACTCATTCGTATTCGAATTTCAAATCTCCCTCTAATGTTCTTCCAATTATCACACATGCTCGAACTCATTGATGCATTTCAGTTCAGACAAAGAGCGGAATCATTAAATTTATCACCGCCCTGAGCTTGAAAATAGTTTTTCATTCCTTTCCCTCTTTTTAACTTTAACTTTTACTGTTCAGTTCGTAATGAAAAATTGTTTTCTCGTTCACAAACTATTTTCGACTCATAAATCATAAAATGAATTTTTTTTGTTCAGAACGTTCAGAGCATCATCATCGAGAATGAAGTTCTCGTTATTGGTAAAAGAAGAAAATAATGTTTAAAGACGTCTTTGAGAATCTCATCTAAGTTCGTCTTCGACACTGAAAATGTTTCCATTCTTCATAGGTGGAATAAATAAATTCTTGTGGAAACACCTCAATTCACTTCTTCGGTTCTTTCCCCTTTCACTCATCGATATTCAGAGGCTAATATTTGGCTTTCCACATCGAGAAACTCAACATTGTGCAATTTATTTTCCTTCCATTCTCTCTATCTCATCTTAAATCCATTTATCATCACAATAGAAAAATGCTTCTATCAATGTTTCATTTATTTCATCATCGATAAAAACGAAATATTTTTGCNCATGAAAAATTCTCAATATGTATGATAAAGCATTTAAATTTTGTAGTTTTAGAAGAAATGAACTACAGTCAGCATCACAAAAACCAAATA